GGGGGCAAAGAGCAGGGATTCAAGAGCGCCAATACCGAACGCCATTACATCCCCAGACTAGCCGGGGGGAGTGAGGGAAGGGCATATTGCAACCACGGCTCCCATATTTTCAAAAATTTACGTTGGGAGTCGTTGCGGATACTCAACATCTGTTCGTTGAGCATCATAGTGGTCATACGATCCCGCACCCCCTGAAGAGGGACAAACGGACTCTTCCAGGCCTGAGCAATTGTTCTAGTGGCGGATAAAAACAGATAGGAAGCCAACTTCTGCTGGTGAGCCAAGAGGCCCGGTATGGGGCAATGAAGCAAGGCATACCGAGCATCCCGGCGTATGGAGAGATGGAACAAGGTGAAAAGGAGGCCAAATACACGAGACCAAAAATGAAACAGTCTCGGGCATGACCACCAGATATGTAATACATCACCACGATGACCACAACCCCGAAAACATTGATCACTACAGGCAGGGTTAGCCCGGGCCAACCGAGCCGGAACCCAGCAGCGCAATTTTTTTGATCTTTATGCACTGTGTGTATTGACTCATAGAAAACAATGCACTGCATTCAGATCTGTGAAAAAATGCTGTACTGATAAAAAAAAAATCCTAAGGGCTCATTCACACAGGCGTTTGTGTATTTATGTGTGTGGAATGCAAGTTTTTGTTGGCAGAGCTAGCAGAAAATCCTGCATAAAATACAATAAAATACTACATGTTTACATGCATGTGAGCAGGGTGCAGCAGGGTGTGCCTTTGACTGTGATCACACAGAGGACGAGCATTATGAACTGTATATTGCAAACATGCCAACAACGTGCAACCAGGCCCAAGGGGTGCCGGCAGCTGCCCGGAGCCACTTACGGGATGCACAGCAGCGATTCTTTAGCTTCAAAGATGCTGACAGCTTCTGCAATGAGGATTGGAAATGTGGCCTGGCTGGTCCAACCCAAATTGAAGGCTTCCTTAGTGGAGACAGCATAGTTCCTGCTTTTTCCCTACTCCTCTGAAACCTTTTTACTGCCACTAAGTGCTGTCTCTACACTACCCACTCGCAAAATGTGCGCCAATTTGGGGGTCAGGTGCTTAAGGAATCCAATCTGATAGCTGCTCCCAGGTGACCAATGGAAATCATAGAGGAACTAAGTTCCCCACAACCTCCTTCCTCTTCTGTATTGCCGTTTTAGCTCAGCGCCACCTACAGCGGGGGGTACAAACTGTGCATACCAACATGCATACACATGTAAAATCTGCATCTATGGCCCCATGCAGCTGTGTCTTACTTGTTTTTGTTCACTGCTAGATGCAGCATGCATTTTCATTTTTTCAAGCAGCTGTGTGTATTACCCCATTGATTTCTATGATGCTGTTTCTGTGATGCATACAAAAGGTCTCAGGTGTGAATGGGGAGCAGGTGTGTTAAATTTGGTGTTATCCATCTCACTCTCTTATACTGGTCACTGGAAGTTCAACATGGCACCTCATGGCAAAGAACTCTCTGAGGATCTGAAAAAAAGAATTGTTGCTCTACATAAAGATGGTCTAGGCTACAAGAAGATTGCCAAGACCCTGAAATTGAGCTGCAGCACGGTGGCCAAGACCATACAGTGGTTTAACAGGACAGACTCCACTTAGAACAGGCCAAAGAAGTTGAGTGCACGTGTTCAGTGTCATATCCAGAGGTTGTCTTTGGGAAATAGATGTATGAGTGCTGCCAGCATTGCTGCAGAGGTTGAAGGGGTGGGGGGTCAGCCTGTCAGTGCTCAGACCATAAACCACACACTGAATCTCATAAGTGACACCAATGATAATCTCCACAACAGCAGATATCTCTGAAAGCTTAACTGTTACTTTTTATCATATTTATCCAATAAAGTTCCAGAAGTTACTACACTATTGGCACCCCCCTTTTTCTTTGGCTCCTTATTGGAGGAGCTATTAAACCCACAGAACAATTCCCAGTAACATCCAGTATCCAGAGGAAGGAGCCCAGTACCCAGGCTGAATACCAATATATCCTTAAAGGAGACCTCTGGACCCAGCAGATTTTACTTCACCCAAGCTTGATGACCTTTTCTCCTGAGGGAAGTCCACCATCTGCCTGCTGTTTTAACTCCATCTGGCGGTTATTTATATGCGCATTTCCTATGGGCAGTCGGTGAGTGCGCATTTCTGCCATTTGTTTCCTGTCACAAGCTTTCAGAGATATCTGCTGTTGTGGAGATTATCATTGGTGTCACTTATGAGATTCAGTCAAGTGGACAAATGTTTTTTTTTTTTAACTAACTTTTATTTTATTTTAGTTTTGTTTTAGTTTTCATTATTTATATATTTAATTTTTTAGCGCTGCACTTTACTTACCTATTGCTATTTCTGAGGTTATTGTGATTTCCTTTAGTGTTCTAGCTGCTATCTGCTCATAGAGCGCTCGCTTAATTACTTTACATTCATAATCACACACTGCATCAAATTGGTCTGCATGGCTGTCATCCCAGAAGGAAGCCTCTTCTAAAGATGATGCACAAGAAAGCTTGCAAACAGTTTGCTGAAGACAAGCAGACTAAGGACATGGATTACTGGAGCCATGTCCTGTGGTCTGATGAGACCAAGATAAACTTATTTTGTTCAGATGGTGTCAAGTGTGTGTGGCGGCAACCAGGTGAGGAGTACCAAGACAAGTGTGTCTTGCCTACAGTCAAGCATGGTGGTGGGAGTGTCATGGTCTGGGGCTGCTAGAGTGTTACTGGCACTGGGGAACTACAGTTCATTGAGGGAACCATGAATGCCAACATGTATTGTGACATACTGAAGCAGAGCATGATCCCCTCCCTTCAAAGACTGGGCCACAGGGTAGTATTCTAACATAAAGACCCCAAACACACCTCCAAGATGACCACTGCCTTGCTAAAGAAGCTGAGGGTAAAGGTGATGGACTGGCCAAGCATGTCTCCAGACCTATTGAGCATCTGTAGGGCATCTTCAAACGGAAAGGTGGAGGAGCGCAAGGTCTCTTAACATCCACCAGCTTCGTGATGTCGTCATGGAGGAGTGGAAGAGGACTCCAGTGGCAACCTGTGAAGCTCTGGTGAACACCATGCCTAAGAGGGTTAAGGCAGTGCTGGAAAATAATGGTGGCCACACAAAATATTGACATTTTGGGCCCAATTTGGACATTTTCACTTAGGGGTGTACTCACTTTTGTTGCCAGCAGTTTAGACATTAATGGCTGTGTGTTGAGTTATTTTGAGGGGACAGCAAATTTACACTGTTATACAAATTGTACACTCACTACTTTACATTGTAGCAAAGTGTCATTTCTTCTGTGTTGTCACATGAAAAGATATAATAAAATATTTACAAAAATGTGAGGGGTGGACTCACTTCTGGGAGATACTGTATGTTCTGAATGCAGAAATTACATGTTTGGGGCATACATCCCTGGAAATATTGCTCAAAACAGTCTACAGCTGAATACAGTGGCTGCATGCTTCAACCTGTCATAGATTTTGCTGCCACTGCTGACAGCGGCCTGTATGCTGCACCTGTGCCTCCTGGGCACCCAGAAATGCTGGGATTTTATGCTGTAAGGGTCACACCATCAATGTTCATGAGCCCTGCATCTCACAGCAAGAGCAAGAAATCCCACTTATATGGTTGTCAACAGAACAGGTATCACCACTGAAAGATTTCCCCTCCATTCCTGATTTGGTGATTACTTAAAATGTTGGATTTTACCTAATAATAAACCATTGTCATAAAAAAATTTCACTTTACTTTTGTACTGCATATGCTCATAGTTTTCAAATAATTGCTTCTAAATGTTTTCATTACTTCCCTGAAATGTGACCATCCCTGTGTCTCTCTAGCTGAGCTGCGCTTCCCTGAACTTCCGGTCAGGAACACCTGACTTTGTGATGTAGGCACTACAAGCCCCACTATCTTTTGCACATTTATCATGCTGAGCTGGAAGGAGGAGCTGAGAAATGTTGCCAATCTACAACTGGTGGACAGAGCAGTCATCCTGTTTCTGGGCAGCTGGTGAGTGACATTCCCAGTCAGTAGTGTGCACATCAAGGTGATTAAAAACAAGAGATGAGCATAAGGGCCCTACATTTTTCACACTTTTAGTCTTCTTTGGAAGCCCATGCGACAAGGTAACAATGCAGGAGTATGATTTGCAGACAAAAAGAGAGCATTGTCACCATAAAAGAGGAAGTGCAGAATAAACAGGTATTCTTTAAAAAAAAAAGCTACAGATTTAAAAATATTGAAAATTACTTTTGAAATTGCTTTAATATGTTAAAACTTAGACTTCTTTCTCCTGAAGCTGTGCCTGCAGGCATGCAGCCTGTGTCAACTACCTCTCTGTACACCTCTACTCTCTCCCTGCATGGCCACATAGCCTGATCTCAGCAGGGGACAGAGGGAGGAGCTGCAATGACAGCAGTGTAGCAGTGTGTGGGCAGCTCTGTAGGACAGCGGTGCAGCGGCCAGGCTAGTTTACAGCTGATAATAAGATCCTCCAGCACAGTAGTGATAGGGTTGGTTATTTAAAACGCAGCTCCCCAACCCCCACATAAAAAAAAAAAAAACCAAGTAGCATTGCACAGTACTCGGGCTTCCAGAAAAGAGCATCTTAAAAAAGCTGAAAGTTATGCTATATAAATAGGAACATGTTACAAATATATAGTAGGTATTATCCTAATTCGGCTACAAAAGTGGAAATACACTTTAAGTGACATCTTAGTGATTTGGCTTTATAAATACTTCTAGGACTAACTACACTATATTGCCAGAAGTATTGGGACACCCCTCCAAATCATTGTATTCAGGTGTTCCATTCACCTCCATGGCCACATGTGTATAAAATCAAGCACCTAGGCATGCAGGCTGCTTCTACAAACATTTGTGAAAGAATAAGTCGCTCTCAGGAGCTCAGTGAATTCAAGCGTGGTACTGAGATAGGTTACCATCTGTGCAATAAGTCCATCCGTGAAATTTTCTTGCTACTAAATATTGTTAGTGGTATTATAAAAGTGGAAGCTACTGGAAACAACAGCAACCAAGCCACAAAGTGGTAGGCCACGTAAAATGACAGGCTGGGGCAGGGGCGGACTGACCATTGGGGAACTCGGGCACTGCCCGAGGGCCCGGGTTCAGTAGGGGGCCCCATGAGATGTCTCTGGTACCTTTCATAGGCTTTGTTGGGTGTGGTTTGAGTGTGGGCAAGGACACAGGGGCCCTGTGATCCACTATTGCCCGGGGGCCTCATGACTTGTCAGTCCACTCCTGGGCTGGGTCAGCGCATACGCACAAGTCGCCAACTGTCTGCAGAGTCAATAGCTAAAGACCGCCAAACATTGTGTGGCCTTCAGATTAGCACAACAGTGCGTAGAGAGCTTCATGGAATGGGTTTCCATGGCTGAGCAGTTGCATCCAAGCCTTAGATCACCAAGTGCAATGCAAAGCATCAGATGCAGTGGTGTAAAGCACGCTGCCACTGAAATCTAGAGCAGAGGAGACGTGTTCTCAGGAGTGACGAATCACGCTTCTCTGTCTGGCAATCCGATGGACGTGTCTGGGTTTGGCGGTTTCCAGGAGAACAGTCCTGACCTCAACTCGATAGAACACCTTTGGGACAGGGGCGGACTGACAACTCATAGGGCCCCCGGGCAATAGGGGATCATGGGGCTCCTGTGTCCTTGCCCAAACTCAAAAAAGCCTATGAAAAAGGTACCAGGGGCATCTCATGGGGCCCCCTACTGACCCCGGGCCCTCGGGCAGTGCCCGAGTTTCCAAATGGTCACTCCGCCCCTGCTTTGTTATGAATTAGAGCGGAGACTGCCAGTCAGGCTTTCTCGTCCGACATCAGTGCCTGACCTCACAAATGCACTTCTGGAAGAATGGTCAAACATTCCCATAGACACTCTCCTAAACCTTGTGTACAGCCTTCCCAGAAGAGTTGAAGTTGTTATAGCTGCAATAGGTGGGCCAACTTAATATTGAACCCTACAGACTAAGACTGGGATGCCATTAAAGTTCATGTGCGTGTAGAGGCAGGTGTCCTAATACTTTTGGCAATATAATGTATGTGCTGCCAGCTATACATTCTAAAGTGTGCATTAATACAAATATATCAGAACAGCAATTTAGCTCTAGGGCAGGGGTTCTGAATTAAAATTTACGGGGGTCTGGTCAGTAAAATTTTCTTCCAGCGGAGGTAGGAGTGTCATGTTGTTACTATGACTCAGATCCTTCACATCACAACCTGCAGTGCACATCACAGTTCCTCCCTTCACCCCCCATACCCCCTTTTACATCACAGATCGCCCCATCACAGTCCGCCCCATCACAGTCCACCCCATCACAGACCATCCCATCACAGAATGACACATCACAGACCCCCCCATAACTGACATCCCATCACAGACCCCCCCATCACCGACTACTCATTGGGCGGCACAGTGGCTAAATGGTTAGCACTTCTGCCAGGCAGTACTAGGGTCGTTAGTTCGAATCTCAACCACGGCACCACCTGCTTGGAGTTTGCATGTTCTCCCTGTGCCTGCGTGGGTTTCCTCTGGGTACTACGGTTTCCTCCCACACTCCAAAAACATGCAGGTAGGTGAATTGGATCCTGTCTAAATTGTCCATAGTAGGTGTATGTATGAATGTGAGTTAGGGACTTTAGATTATACACCGCTTGAGGGTTAGGGACTGATGTAAATGTATAATATATATGTAAAGCACTGCGTAAATTGATGGTGCTATATAAGTACCTGAAATAAATAAATACTCCATCACAGACCGTCCTATCACAGATTTCCCTCCATCATAGACCCCCCTTCATCATACATTCCCTCCATCACAGACCCCTTAGCACAGAACCCCTCCCCCCAATCACAACCCCCCTTCATAACAGACCTCTCCTCATCCCAGATCACCCTATCACAGTCCTTCCTGCATATTACAGATTCCCGTCCATTTCATAACATTGCAGCACTCCTCCCTCCCGCCCCCCCCCCCCCCCCCCCCACACTGTCCTACCTTATTCACACAAGATGGGAAGCACAGCAGGTCTGGACATAGGGAGGGATTTTTCATGTTATAGGCGGGTGAATGATTGCGTGGACCCCCCCCACTGCCTAGCAATCAATCTTCTGCAACCAATCAATTGCTTTCTAACATGAAAAGTCCTGCCCTATGTCCAGACCTGCTGTGCTTCCAGTCTTGTGTGAATAAGGTAGGGCAGTGTGTGGGGAGGGGAGGGGGGGAGTGCTGCAATGTTATGAAAAGGACAGTCCTGCTGTGCCTCAAATGTTGTGCCCTTCCTTGAGGACACTAGTGGCAGCGGTGGGCAGGCGAGGGGGAGGACATTCAGGCAACTATTTGGTGAAGCTGCGATTCGGAAAGGAATGTTTCTGGGTCCGGATCCGGACCGCGGTCCACCATTTAGTGATGCCTGCTATAGGGTGCTCTCCAAACTGATGCCTACAGAAATATTCCTTAACACTTTACTTCATTATTGAGTCTAAAACACCATGGAGGTATTTTCCTTACTTGAGGCTTTTAGTGCTTTACATTATATATAATTTATAATTAGAAATGTATTTATTATTTTTTTGTATTTTTTTAAATAATATTTATAAGCACATACATTAGTGGAATCTATTGAAATAAGGGATCTTGAGCATGATTTAAGAAAGGCCCGACCATTTTACTTTCTATATCTTCAACAAAGCTTGTGCAAAGTTTATGGTATTGGCTAAACATTACAATTAGGAACTAAGCAATGGACTGGAATAACAATAACAGCAAAGGTGGCAATTACTAATTACTTGTCCAAGAATGCTTGTCTTACCCTGTACCAACAGAAGCTTCATTAGATTTATTATTCAGAGGAGGCTTTCGTGTTCACAACTTTGGATGGATTGTGTGAGCTATTCGTGGGTGTGTTGGTGGTTATGTTTGTAAAAAAAACAGAATATCTGTGTGGGAAGCCTCAAGCTGAAGCTGCCATTATTTCATGTTTCACACTAGTTCCAAGATCTATTACGTTTAATTGCAAGTTACATCATTGCTGCCAAATTAGCATGCAAACCTATCAGGAAATGGTAGCCTTTCCCTGAAGCCTAAATGCACAATCCCAATGCACGTGTTCCTGTGGTTAGAAATGGCTGTATGTGACCATCAGCTGCAACCAAGGATGCTTTATTCAGCGATCACATTGTTACAGCAAGAGCAACGTTTCCGAGCCTCACAGGAACCCTTCATCGGGCACTACCACAGTGTGCTGGTGACATTCTTCTCCTCCCTTCCCCTGAAATCTTACACACAATCACTTTAAGGCCAAACCTTTGGGGACACCCGACCATCACACCTACCTATATGGCCATTCCTGACAAGCCCTTCAAAATGATGAGTTCAGGTATTTCCAATGAAGAACACATATTTTAAACTGTTAGAAATTCTGTATATTACCCTATAGATCAGACAGTGCACAGCTTTTTCTGCTTGCTTCATTGCAAACAGGAAACTGTGTGCTTCCATCCTTGTGGATACAGGTTGGGGAAGGCCCTTTTCTATTCTTTTTTTTTTTTAATGATTTGGTTTAGAGAAATTTAGAGCATACAAAACAGAGCCTCTGGGAATTCCTTAGCTTGAAAGTAAGAAAACATGAAAAAAAAAAATAAGACAACTATAGTAAACAATTACTTAATTACAACCAATAACTTCTGCTCGGTTCCACAAAATGAAAGAACCACAAAATATGATGTACCATTCGCCAACCCTCCATCCCTCCTGATGGAAGCTGGACTAAATGGACTTGATGGAACAGAGACTAAAAAATTGGAGCTTACAGGCTCTCACATGTCAAGGTTGAGTAAAAAAAGGCCAGGCTGTAGGCCAAGGCCCTCATCACCTAGAAGTAGCTACATTGGGATACCCAAAGAAAGTGCCCAGGATTATTGGGATGCATTAGTATTTGGTGACTTCATCCAGATATTCTATACCTTTGTTAAATTTAGCGGGACAATCCCAAGAGATATAGGTAGATTGGTATGGGGTTTAGAAGTGTTCACCAGGGCTTTAAAAAAATCTAGGGAAGTAGCCTGCTCATTTTCTATTCTGGCATGACATTGTAGCACAAATCCAGGTCTTGTCTTCCCCCCAGCCCGGACACCACCCCCCACTGACATCTCCGTCATGTCCAACAACGCCACCATCAAACCCCGCAGGCCAGAGTACTTGGTGTCATTCTGGACTTCAACCTGTCCTTCCAGCCCCAAGTCCAATCTTTAACTAACTCGTGCAGACTCCACCTCCGCAACATCGCCAAAATCTGCACGTTCCTAACCCCAGAAACCACTAAACAGCTCATCCACTCCCTCATCATATCACGACTCGACTACTGCAACTCCCTCCTCACTGGCCTGCCTCGCCGCTGGCTATCCCCGCTTCAGTCCATCCTGAATACGGCTGCCAGACTCATTCACCTTTCCAACCGCTCCGTTTCCGCCACCCTCCTCTGCCAATCCCTCCACTGGCTTCCAATTGCGCAACGGATCAAATGCAAAATCCTAACTCTGACGTACAAAGCTGTCCACCATACTGCCCTGAACTACATCACTGACCTAATATCCAAGTACCACCCAGCACGCACACTCCGCTCCTCACAAGACCTCCTTCTCTCTAGTTCCTTGGTCTCCTCCTCCCACGCCCGCCTACAGGACTTCTCCAGGGTGTCACCCATCCTCTGGAACTCCCTGCCCCAACCCATCAGATTATTACCTACTCTCCTCTCCTTTAGGCGCACCCTGAAAACTCACCTCTTCAGGGAAGCCTACCCCACCCCCTGCTAACTTGCCGACCTCCTCCACTCTTCCTACCACTCCATCCCCCAAAGCTTTCTCCTCCTGTGCCACCATCCCCTCCCTCCTAGATTGTAAGCTCGAAAGAGCAGGGCCCTCAATTCCCTCATGTTTTGCATTGTATTGGTATTGTTCTGTCCCCCTTTGTAATGTACAGCGCTGAGCGAACTATTGGCGCTTTATAAATACTGTATAATAATAATAA